TTTTTGTGGCCCCCCCCCCTTTTTTTTTTTTTTTTTTTTTCTTCGTCTCCTAAATATTAGTAGATTTGATCAGGGAATAATGTTCCCAGCATGAAAAAGCTAAGTGGTATCGCTTTTTAAGCAATGAAAAAAATAAATCACAAATGATCTGATGCAAAGTCCATTGGAGTTACAGGACGCACTTCAGTTGATTTTCAGTGGGCTTCAAAATAAGCCTCAATTTTTAGGGAGAATTTATGCAGAATTTTTTCCTCATGTCTTAATTCAGAGTCTCACCAAATTTATAGATATGAAAGAACTGTTGCCAAAGAAAGCAAATCAATAATATGTTAAACATCTAAAATTTGACTCTTGTATCATGCAAACTCAGAGCTGCTCAAACCCTAACTTTGTCACCTAAATCAGTAGATTCTTGTATCAGATTACCAAAGCCGTCCAGTTTGAAAACAACTTTGTACACTGAATAAATCTGTTTGTCAATGACACTATTTCATGTACTGTTTTTGGATTATATTGCTATATACACTCTGTCTGAGTTTCCCTTTGTTTATCTCTTGGAGTCTGTTGTCTTCCTCCGCCCCATAAAAGTATATGACTTTTTTACTGGATTAAATTTATCTCTGCCCAGAATATCAGAACAAGGTCCTTATACTGTTTTAACCCCACTTAACCCCCATTTTGAGCGTTTTAAATAAGCAATCACTATATGAACCTTATCCCTCTGAAAAGGGCTGAATTTAACTTTTTTAAAACTAGAAAAGTTTTCTTTTATAATCAGAACTGTAAAAATCTCTAATGCTTTGGAAGTATTTTGTACCCTAGTCACAAACATAGTGACAAATGTTACAAATCTACCACAGTTCAAAAGCATAGGGATTAAGAATGTAGAGGAAGTGTTACCTGCACTGTCCGTGTGTGCCTGTGTTCATGCGTGTGTGGTAGGGAGGGTGGGTACTTTTTTTTTTTTTAAACCATTAATGTACAATTTTTAACTTTTCTTTTGAACAGACCTATCTAGGGGAAGAGACCTTGTGGCCAGGTCCCTAAAGGAATTTAGGAACCTGAACATGGTCACCTGGAGAAACTTGATTTCACCTTCATGTCAAGGGTTTAAAATCATTGCCTGTGTACAGGCAGCCATTTTAAAACCGGAATAATCTCTCACAGAGGGCTGTGCTGGTGGTGGATGAGTGCAACTATGTAAATGAGTCTAAAGGCTTATGTGTGCAATTCTTGGTGGTGATGAATATTGTCCAACTCCTGCCTTGTTAGTTAAAGGCTAAATTAGCTCTGACCCTTGTGGGGATGTACAAGAGAAAAGAAGGTTTTGAGTAAGTCGACTCTCATTATTGACTCAAATAGTTTTTTCAGCATACATAGTTGTTCTCAAAATTGAGTCCTTGGAAAGTCTGATAGCACTCATCTTCCCCTGGCTCAGTTATCTTTTTTCAATATAATAATTCATTTGTTAGGCACTTATTTTCATACACACTTATATTATATTCATAGATTTTTATCAAAGGTTCTCTGAGGGTTCTGGTTTGGTTTTTTTTTTTTTTTTTTTACACATTGTTTCTCTAGAAATATGTAGTTATGGCATGGGAACACCATAATGAATGCTGTAGAATGTACAATATTCCCCTTCATTCTTACCCTTTGAGAATCAACATCTGCTGTCCTCTTGGTGTCTGAAGAGAGCCCGTTTACAGAAGTAGTAAGCTCAGTAGTTCCAATAAAAAAACGGGGTGAATGGAAATGTAGGGGAGGGGTGTCTGTGGGGGATGATGTGGGTTTAAAGTGGCTGTGAGTTATTCCATTGTCTACAGTGGGCTCTGGATGAAACCCGAAGGGGCCTATCCTTTGAAGTATGGAGCACCTTCCTCTCCCATTACAGTCAACAGAAACACAAAAGCCATGGTCTTCATACTAAAGTGAGGGGGAAAAGATTCTTCTGAGTGTACATGTGTGTTTTGTTTTGTTTTTGTATTTTAAACAGCCGTGTATTGGTTTCCTGTCTTGACAACGAAGCAGCTAAAAAACGACACATCCTGTTTTGTTAAAAGGATGTTTGTGGTATTGTGAGTTGGGTGGAGGGAAATGTGCTCTGTGAACATATTTTTATTCTCAAGACCTCTTGTAGCTTGACAAAATAAGATGTCAATCATAGAACTCAAGAAGTCATTAAGTTAAATCCTCTGCACTCATGACAGGTCTTTGGAGATTAGGAGCAGGTTAGCCAAAGACAGACATTCCACAACCTCCTTGGAGCAATTTATTCTGTGCTTAACCACTCTGACAGTGATGTTTTCCCCAATATCTAACCTAAACTTGCTGCAGGTTTAAGCCCATTACTACTTGTTCTATCATCAGATAAGGAGAATAATTTTTCTTCCTACTTCTAGTAACAACCTTAGGCTGTGTCTAGACTACATGGCTCCATCGATGGAGCCATGTAGATGAGGGTTGTAGGCAAAGGCAAATGAAGCCGCGATTTAAATGACCGGATTTGGAACATGGACCTGGGCACTAGCAGCTGAGATTTCACACAGGTTCCATTTTTTCCAGAATTTGATCCCTCCTGTCACATGATGCAAATGATGAAGATGCACTGTTATACAAGAAAACACATTTTAATTGAATTAATATTAAACCATTATGCCCTTTAAAGCATCTGAGGGTATCTCTAGACTACATAGCTCCATCGATGGAGCCATGTAGATTTGTTTTTTTGGCAAAGGCAAATGAAGCCGTGATTTAAATGATCGCGGCTTCATTTACATTTACATGGCTGCCGCGCTGAGCTGACAAACAGCTGATCAGCTGTTTGTCAGCTCAGCGCGGCAGCCATGTAAATGTAAATGAAGCCGCGATCATTTAAATCACGGCTTCATTTGCCTTTGCCAAAAAAACAAATCTACATGGCTCCATCGATGGAGCTATGTAGTCTAGAGATACCCTCAGATGCTTTAAAGGGCATAATGGTTTAATATTAATTCAATTAAAATGTGTTTTCTTGTATAACAGTGCATCTTCATCATTTGCATCATGTGACAGGAGGGATCAAATTCTGGAAAAAATGGAACCTGTGTGAAATCTCAGCTGCTAGTGCCCAGGTCCATGTTCCAAATCTTTCTACGGCACTCTGAAATTTTTTTTTTCTTCTGAGAAGCACAGTGGGAGAACTGGGCCATTACTTCTTAAAATACACATGATGCAATTGCCAGTGTAATAATCAAGAGACTAAAAGGAAAACAGTGAAATAACTCACGTATGCAATCTTATTAGGACTTGATTGCATTCTGTATGTAAGTCTGAGAACTACTAAGAAATAAACTGAATTCTTTGTTCATACAGCGCTTATCCCGTAAAGCACTAAACCCCTGAAGTACTGTGGTCTTTCACCTCTCAGTAATGTCTATAGATAATGGGAGCACCCCCCCGCGCACGCGCGCGCACACACACACACTCACACCTTTTTGAAACTGCTCGGTGTCTTGCAGGATAGATCACCTTTCACCCAGAGGTTTCAAAGTTTTTTTTAATCCGTCTTTAGTGAAGGGAAAAAAAGAAACCCCAAACGCTTTCTTTATTGCTGTGAAGGATATGTTTACAAACCTTGCATGTGGTTTAAAACTGGGTTGAGTTGCAGTGAGGACAGAGAGGATCTAGAAAACTTAGGGAGTCTTCTTGATACTCTGACCCTGATCTCAATCGGGCCATGCAATCATCTCACAAAGGAGATGATGGGCGCGCTATTTGGGAGACCTTTTAAATGAGCAGAGACAACATTAGAAATGATATTTTGTAAAGACTAGATCTGCATTGACAGGAAGGAGGACTAGATGCTGTAATAGAACTTTTCCATTTCTAGGATTTCATGAACCTTAACTACATGTTAATGAATTCTTTGGAAAGATCTATGTAAGGGCTATATTTCTGGAAATGTCCCAAGTTCGTGTGTAGTTGTGGACATGGGCAGCCGGTAGCCTAGGTGGGGAAGGCTTTGCCTTCCCAAACTGCCAGACATGGCCCTACACACACTCTGCCCCCAGAATGCTGTAGGCATTCTAGGGGTGGTGTTGCTGCCCCCCACACCGGCCCTCCTGTTGCTCTGGAGACCAGAAAGTGACAACCATGTGGCCCCTTCCCTGGTGCTTTGGGGGCCAGGCAGGCTGCAGCCATGTGCAGTCACGTTTCCCTTCCCCATGGAGGGGTGCACTCAGCGTGCTGTCTCGCCTCCTCCCCTCTCTGTGGTGGGGTTGTAGGTGGAGCTGGGGCCTGCCTCCCCCAGCCCTGGCTGCATTGCTAACCCATGGTTGTGGACTAAATGGTTTCCTTAACATCTATACCAAGAACTTGAATGGATATGAATGTATATTGGATGTTCTGAAGACTGTGACATGCATGTTGATGGCTCTAATAGAATATTAGAACTGGGAGGGACCTCAAGCAGTCATCAAGCCCAGTCTCCTGCCCTTCCATGGGCATCTAGATCATGAGTTCCCAAACTGGGGGGTGTGCCCACCTGGGGGGGCATGAAGAAATTCCAGGGGAGACGTGAGGCAACCCAGCCCCACACACCCTGTCAATCCCACACTAAGTTTTGCTGCTATTTTTTGGGGGAGGAGCGGGTGTGTGTGTGTGTGTGTGTGTGTGTGTGTGTGTGTGTGAGGGTTTCTCAAAAATCAAAAAGGGAGCATGATGCCAAAAAGTTTGGGAACCAGTGATCTAGATCATCCCTGATAGATGTCTATTTAATGTGCTCTTAAATATCTCCAGTGTTAGAGACTCTGCAATCTTCTTAGACAATTTATTCCAGTGTTGAGCCACCCTGATAGTTAGGAAGCTTCTCCTAATGTCCAGTCTAAACCTTCCTTGCTGCAATTTAAGCCCATTGCTTCTTGTTCTATCTCAGAGGTCAAGGAGAACAATTTTTCTCCCTCCTCCTTGTAATACCCTTTTAAGTACCTAAATTACATGAGATGGATGAGCACCATTTACAATTCATTCATATTAAGAGGAGTCGCACACAGTGATCCATATAATATCCAGTTTCACTTGCTTAATTTGTATTTAACTGTTAGGGTACGGATGGGTTTTCATGATGTCTTGTCAATGCTAAACTTGTCCTTGTCAAAATTGGATTGATCGTTTTGTGTCTTATAATACAACAGCCACTCTGGAGCTTCTCCAGGTCTCTGTCCGTACCAGTGTATATAGGCACCGCCAACATCAATGCCAAAAATTTTATAGTCCATTTTTACGGTTTTCTTTGGTATCTTTGTGATGGATATCTGAGTTTGTGTCAGTTGTTCTTGTGCAGCTCCATCTACAAGGAAAGGAAGGGAAAAATACGATAAGCATGAATCTGGAGCCTCTTTGGTTGTTGCTGAGTAACTGACACATTTTGTAAAAACCAGAGTGAAAACCCTTGACTTACATGACCAGCTTGAAGCCACAATAAGAATCAGCAGCAGTAACATTCTCACTAACTTCAGTTGAGCCTGCACATCAGAAATAGAAGGCTGTAATTTAGGATCTCAGATGGAGAACCAAGTGCCTTTGTGGAGAGGAAGTGACTTGCTTAAGAAGGAGCCAAGAATAGTCCTGTTGGGTGTAGGTATGTCAGTTCCATGTGACAGGTTTCAGAGAGGTCAGTGAACTTTACTGTTGCCCATATTGTTGTGCTTAAAAGAAGCACCTGGGATCTTTTTCAGGGGGATAAGGCAATACGCCACATTTATTAAACATACATAGATCAATCAACACTTTCTCATATGCATATGATACATTTCACTCATGCACTCTCTCTCCTATACACACACAAACACATTCCATCTTGTTACCAATAGTTGCTCCCCCTAACTACCCTGGCCAGGTGAGTTAGATGTGGGAGGGGTGGAGCCGGGCTTCTGCTGATCCCGATCAATGCTCAGATGTTACAAGATGCCTCATACTTATCCCTCTCATGCAGCCAGCTAGTCATCACCTTGCCTTTTTTAATGCTTCAAAGAGAGTTCTTTCAAGGGCAGGCACTTGCTGCTCAACTCCCAAGGCCTTCTGTATGTCCAGTCATCTTTTCAATATTGACAGAAGAAAAACCTGGTGTCCCTCTACAAGATGCCTCCTATTTATCCCTCTCATGCACCCAATTTGTCATAACCTCACTTAATGCTGCTTCAAAGAGTTCTTCCAAGGGCAGGCACTTGCTGCTGGACTCCCAAGGCCTTCTGTATGTCCAGTCCTCTTAATGAGCTCACTTCACAGGTATTGTCTTGGATCTGGCTCCCAAGAAGAAAAACCTGGTGTCCCTCTACAAGATGCCTCCTATTTATCCCTCTCATGCACCCAATTTGTCATAACCTCACTTAATGCTGCTTCAAAGAGTTCTTCCAAGGGCAGGCACTTGCTGCTGGACTCCCAAGGCCTTCTGTATGTCCAGTCCTCTTAATGAGCTCACTTCACAGGTATTGTCTTGGATCTGGCTCCCAGTCCCTCTCCACCCTTGCAGCTGCTGCGTCACAAGAACTGGGGTAGTGTTGGGTTGTGTTGGAACCCAAAATGTTATATGTGCGGTGACAGTAACTACTTCACAATAAACGGTTTAGGTTTTAATATAAGCTAGTGAGAAGTTTCTAGAGCTGAATGGCAAAAATAGGGAGGTAACTGAAGTTTTGCTCATTTGAGGAAATACGGTTTAATATTCAGAATGAAGTTTTTGTACATATTATCTCTGGGTATGTCTATACAAGTCCCCTAGTTCGAACTAGGGAGGCTAATGTAGGCATTCGAAGTTGCAAATCAAGCCCGTGATTTAAATATCCCATGCTTGATTTGCATCTTCCTGGCCGGTCACCATTTTTGAAATTTACAAGTCCGGACTAACTGCCCACGTCTACATGTGGCAGGGACCCGGTAGTTCAAAATAAAGCCCTAGTTCGAACTACCTGTTAAACCTCATTCCAGTCCGAACTTGTAAATTTAAAAAAATGGCAACCAGCCAGGAAGATGCAAATCAAGCATGGGATATTTAAATCACGGGCTTGATTTGCAACTTCGAAGGCCTACATTAGCTTCCCTAGTTCAAACTAGGGGGGCTAGTGTGGATATACCCTCTGGTTTTCTAACTCTCTGAAATCCAGGTAGGCACATAACAGGTAGCTCTGCCATTAAGGGATAGTGACTTTACTGTTAGGCTACATCTACACTGGCATGATTTTCCGGAAATGCTTTTAACAGAAAAGTGTTCCATTAAAAGCATTTCGGAAAAGCGCGTCTAGATTGGCAGGTCACTTTTCCGGAAAAGCACTTTTTGCGGAAAAGCGTCTGTGGCCAATCTAGACACGCTTTTCCGCAAAAAAGCCCCAATCGTCGTTTCGCGATCGGGGCTTTTTTTTTTTTTTGCGGAAAACACTACTGTGCTGCCTACACTGGCCCTCTTCCGGAACAGTTTTCCGGAAAAAAGACTTTTGTCCGAACGGGAGCAGCATAGTATTTCCAGAAAAGCGGCTGATTTCTTACAGTAAATCGTCAGTGTTTTTCCGGAAATTCAAGGGGCCAGTGTAGACAGCTGGCAAGTTGTTCTGGAAAAGCGGCTGATTTTCCGGAAGAGTTGGGCCAGTTATATTTCTTTTTATACTTAAATTACTTGAGATTACTTGTCCAGTACAGATTGTTCAGCTGTGATGTACAGAATCCTCTCTGGTATCAATACAGACCTCATGACTCTGCAGTGTACAACAGCAATCCTGAATGTCAGAAGCTTCATGGTCAATATAGGCAGTTTTAGTTTCTGTCCTTGTAATGGACAAGTGAGCTTGTCTTAGGCTGTGCGTAGACTATAAAGCTCTATCGGAAAAAGCTTTGCAACATGGGTATCTCTTTCCATTTTTCTTCTGAAAGAGGCTTTTCTGACAATTGGCCCTATACTGGGCCAAATGTCGGGGAAAAAGGCCTCTTTTGGAACATTCCTTCTTCGTCGTAGAATGAACTTTACAGGGATGCTGAAAACATGCATCTGCGCTTTTTTTTTTTTCTTTTTTCCCCAAGGCACGTTTCTTGGATGCAGCAGAGTTAAAGCTCTGTAGTCTAAACGAACCCCCCGGATGTATTTGTGCATGTGCATTTAAAAAGAGTAAGAATAGAAATCATGAAATTAACATGAACCCAGAGTACAGTGAGTTGTTACTCAGTAATGTACCATTGAGCAGAAAAGGGGGAAAACCAAAGAAACTCATATGAGAGAGCCAAAGCCAGCATAACAATGAGGCACAGCAGCATTATACAAGTTTTGCTTGAACTTGTCTGAGAGAAGTGACTGCTTTACTGGAGTGGACAGAGAGGTTCATTTGGGGGCAGAAAATGACTCATTTAGGTACTGAGCAATGAGGTTTTGCTGTTTCCATATGCTACTTTAAGGGAAACTCATCTGAAGTTACATTTGTCAGCACACTATCTGACCTGAACCAAATTTTCACAATCTATACTCTTCTAAAGGTAGCAGAGCATGGAAGTCTGCGTAATGAAGGGTTGGTCTTTTAATATTTATTTCAGTGGTTCCCAGAGCCTTTGTCTAGATGGAGTCTCCATTTTGTTAGGTAGCGGTAGAGATGTAGCCGTGTTAGTCTGGGGTAGCTGAAAGCTCATCATCTAATAAACCATCTTGTTAGTCTTTAAAGTGCTACATTGTCCTGCATTTTGCTTCAATTTGTTAGGTGCTATCCATAGAAATAAATGGAATGACAGTCCCAAAAGTCTTCAGTCTAGAAGAATGTGCCCCAGTAGAGAATTTGTTACTTAATGTTCAAATATGCTATATCCTCGCTGCCATAGTCCACTTTGGTGTTTGTGCATATGTGGTAGAAGAAAGAACCAAGATGTTTGAGTTTTGATGCAAACATTTTTCATCCTCTGCGCAGAGTGACTTGCGTATTGTGGAGTAGATCTGGGATTGGGGTTCTGAGCGATTATTGTAACTAATACAAAGAAGAAGGGAGAGAGAGAGCACTGTTGATGGCACAGAGAAGAATAATTTTCTTGTGGGTTACTTTCGATTGGGGTTCTGAGCTATTATTATAACTAATACAAAGAAGAAGGGAGAGAGAGAGCACTGTTGATGGCACAGAGAAGAATAATTTTCTTGTGGGTTATTTTCTTTATCTGCTCAGCATGAGAGGTGCTTTTGCCAGTTACTGACCAAATAGCAAATGCTAAAAATAGGGGCAGTGGTGGGGAGTAAGAGTGGATTATAGCAGGTAAAGGCTGATTATCAAGATTGACCCTATAAATTGGGACATCTGGTCACCCTATTGCCAGTAGAATACTTAGAACCCTTCAGAAGATATTAATCCCCTTCCAGGATCAGGCTCTTGCTGGGTTTTTATGAGGTTAAATAGTGGAATATTATTTAGTGAGATCGTTTCCCACGTATATGTATTGAGTTTTCTGAAGTGCCTCGTTTATCTGTCTGCTAATGCCCTCTGCTGATCTTGGATGGCCCTGCTCTAGAATATTTGCAGTCAGTTTTATTCTAGTTCTGAGCAGGTGAATTCTACACGAAGATGTTTTTGTTGAATTAATTTACAAATACCCTTTTTCCCCCCTGTTAAATACTACTTTGTTCTCTTTCAGTCAGAGTCAATCTACTCCTTTATCCTTTTTTTTATACCGTAGCTCTATTAGTTTGTCATTCTAGTTTCATTCAATAAGTCATACTCCCAAATCTGCCCTTCTTTCTATCTGTGATCACACACTTTTTAACCACTAGGTCTGACTGAACCTTGACTCCATTTAGACTATAAAATCACTGGGCCAGGTCTTGATTTCCCATTGTGATGTTCCCTGAACATTCATGTTTAAACTGAAATTATACAATATCTGCTCAAGCAGCATCTAGTCTGCTTTCCTACAAAGTATTTCTGCTCACCTGCCATAAGACTCAATATAGGCTGGCCCTTGAACAGAGTTTGCTGGTTTTTATAATGTTAAAAATAACCTCTTTATAGTTTAGGGGTAATAAAACAGCAGTTTTAAACCTCTTCTTTCCATTGGGGTAATAGCAAAATGTACCATTAAGTGTCCAGGCTGGTTTGCCATGCCATTATGTGATTTGTGGTCTTATCCAAAGCCACTGAAGTCAATGGAAAGGCACTTGTGTACCTCGGTGGGTATTGGTCAAGCCCTAAGTGGAATCTATAGACCCTAACATGAACTTCTGTATCTGAGGAGAATACTGTGCAGGATGATTCCCCATTACTAGGTAGCTAGAGGGAGATCTATTATGGTACCTACACTCCAGGTCCAGTGCTACTAGTTTTTTTACTCCCTGTTTCATTGGATGAATGATGTCTGGACTGGGAGATTCCTTTTTTGGATCCAGAATTTTCACCCCAAGTCTTATGCTCCTCTGCTGCTGTCAAACCTCCGCCCAGTCAGCCCATATTAACCCACCCATTGAATTACTGGTAGCTTCACCTAATACACTAGGGGAAGATATTTTTAAAGGTCAAGAGTCAGCAAAATACACAACTCCCATAGATTTGTAATGGGATTGGATACCTGCCTCCTAACTGCCCCTAACTGAGCTCCTGTTCTGCTAGAACTGATCTGTTTTCAGTGGGTGTTTGGACAATACATACAAAGTCAGCCATTGCTGTATCTATCGAGTTGCCAAAGACAATAAACAGTTTCTGCAGCTAGCTCCAGGCTGAGACGTAATGAAAGCAATGAAAGTGTCCTCGTACACTGGCAAACCTGTGTCTTGAATAGCAGAGTGGATTTTTGTACAGGTGGCGTACTGTTTTCTAACACTGTGTGATCCCAGTAGGCACAATAGTATGTAGCAGTGTCACTGAAGGATGTTTTGTCTATGATCAGGGTACAGGTAGGCTGGCCGATCTTCTTCTTTTCAGCATTAAACTTCCCTTTGTCTGAGGCTCTGTCAAAAGCAGCCTGTGTTGAGATGTATAGAATCCGCTCCGGAGCTGCACCCGGTCTCTGTTTGTACCAGTGGATATAAGCCTGGTCAAAATTCCGTACAGAAACACGACAGTCAATTCGAATGGTTTTACTTTCTTCCCTGGTCATGGACTGTTGAGGCTGGGTCAGCTTCACTTGTGAGGAGCCATCTGTGGAGAAAAAAATTAAAAAGATGTACATCAACCTGAAATAATGTGAAAACTCTCCAGTTGCTGCGGCTGTCCTGTGCCAAGGTATGCGGAGAGCCCTATCAGTAATACACTTACAAGAGAAAACCATTGATAGAACAAAAGCTTTTAACAGCAACATTCTTGCTGCTCTTGTTAGAACTCCAGCCAAGGAATGTAAATGATGGTCTTTAATGGGGAGAGAGAAGTACGGGTGAGGAGAGGAAGTGACTCATTTAGGTAATCTGCAGTTAAGTCACACTGACTGAAGAAGAGGTTATATATAATTATATAAACCAGTTTTCCTCAACTTTTATTTTTTAAAAAAAAGTACCCATTTAAAAAAATAAGTACCCCCCAGTACTTAGTTTTCAGATACACACAATTTTTTTCTACCATTGAAACACGTTTGTTTAAACAAACTTAATCGTAGCTGGCGGGTGATGAAATTTTTGGGTGTACAAATTACAAAAATAATGAAGTGCTGTAAAACTTAAAACAAATTCAGATTTCTGCAAATTTTAGTTGTTGACATATTCACCCCACCCTCCAGTCCTCAGACTTCTTTCAAGTACCCCAAGGGTACTCGTACCACTGATAGAGAAACAGTGAGGTAGACTTACTTTGGGATAGTTTCAACCCTAACCCTGGCATGAAACAAATTCCTTGCTTGTGTTTCAAGGTCAGTTGTTATATATTTTAAAGGGTTTGTCTGTTTGATCAAGAACTACTACTTAATGGTAACAGCTAGGACTACCGATTTCAGAGTACAGTTTCCTGTTATCATAACTGAAAGGAAAGTCAGGGTTTGGTTATACCAGGAAAATGGGATATGCCTGGAATGGGATTGGTTTTATGAGAAGCAAACAGAAAAGAGACTATCACCAAAGCAAGCGCACTCCTCCGAACTGACATAAATGTTGAAAGAGGCTGAGCCAGTAAAATAGGATGAACCTGCAACACATCACTTTCATATTGGTGGACATAACACTTCATGGGGTGGGACTAAAGGACTCTGAGTGTGGGAGGGAGCTCAGGGTTGGGGTGCAGGAATGTGATAGTGCCTACTGGAGGTATGGACTCCAGGTTGAGGCTGCGGTTGAGGGATTTGGGGCTTGGACAAAGGGTGCAGGGACTCTGGCTTGGGGTGCAGGCTTCGGGGGAGGGCTAAGGGTGAGGTGTTTGAGGTGCAGGAGAGGGGCTCCAGGTTTGGGGAGGATCTCTGCACTGGGGGTTGGAGAACAGAAGGAGGTACAGGCTCTGGGATGGGGGTTGGGTTGCAGTAGGCTCTGGACTGGGGGTAAGACTGGAGATGAAGGTACAGAAGGTCGGGGGCGGAGGGGAGAGGGAACTCAGGACTGGATGGGACTTGGCAGGAGATTACACCTTTGGTTTACCTGAACTCTCTGCTGGGGATGAGGAGTTGCCCCTTCCCCTGGCCGTGGTAGCTTGGTGCTAGCAGAGAGGGAAGGGGTGCGCCTCTGCCATCCTGACAGCTTCAGGGTTTGGGGAGAAGCATGTCTCCCTGCTGCAACCCTGAGTCCCTGCATTGGGCTTAATGGGCAGTTCTGTGGCCACACAGCTTTGGGGGACCTAAGCAGCTAGAAAAAATAGTCTGGCCCTAGAATAGGATTGCTTCAAAAATAAACCTTGCAGAAATGAGAGAAAATGGGGATCATGCTCTCTTTTGGCACAGTCAAATCAATACAATAAGGTTTGAAAACTAGAAGAAAATGTTATTGAAACCAAATTGACTATAGCTCTTTTTTGTTAAGACAAAGCAAATGATAAGATGAAGGGAAAGAAATACATTTGATGGAATTCCCATTTAAAAGAATTTACTAAAAAAACCCAGAAACATTTTAACAATCCTTTTTTAAAGAACTCTTAAGTCTTTCTAACGAGTACTGTTTTTGAAAAATAGTCATTTTTAAAAAGCATGTACGTATTCCGTTTTATTTAAAACAAAAAAGGGTTATGGACCTGAGCAATGGTGAGTAAATCTGCTAGTTATTTACATTACGGTAGCACCAGGAGGTACTCAGGAGCTACTTAGAAGGTTCTGGGCCCTAGGGAGAAAACGGAGGCAAAGTTCTGCCTAAGGGTATGTATACACTGCAATGTTATTTGTAAATAACTAGCGTTATTCTGAAATAACTAAGTCTGTTTCTACAGCAGACAGTTATATTTAAATAACGTCGAAGTCCTGTCAAGTTGGAAGACTTCTAACTCTGACTCCTGTAACCCTCATTATACAAGGAGTAAGGGAAGTCTGAGGAAGTGTTCTCTTTCTAAATAAGTGCTGTGTAGATAGCACCAAAACTCTAAGCTATTTTGAAATAAGCTACGTAATTGACATAACTCAATTTGCATAGCTTATTTCACATTAAGCCCTGCTGTGTAGACTCAGCCTAACACTGCTACCAATCTGAATAGAAAAGCTACCTTTCAAGTTTGTGGGAAAGGGAAACTTCAAAATATATTTTTTGAATGTGTCTTTGTTAGTTCACAACTATCCTGGTGTTTGTTTTTCTCCTCATTCACCCCCCACAGCTCAGTCACTGTGCGTTAGCCGACTTGTTAATCCTTGGGATAGAAGCCTCACAGAGGAAAAGATAATGTTACTCCATATGAGACAAAGAGCTATTCTATGTGTGTGTGACAGCATGGAAGAAAACCTGGACTCCATATGAGACAAAGCTATTTTATGTGTGTGTGACAGCATGGAAGAAAACCTGAATGAATTTGTTGGAGAATTGGATTGGCAGATGATGGGCACGAATGGGGAGGAGAACAACTGCTGATAGTGCAGTCAAAACTGTAGTTGTCTTTGTCATTCTCTTATTGCTTGCTGCATCAGACACCAGAAATGCCAATGGAAGTTGATGGTGTTCACTATGTTTATGGAGACACTGAGCCTGTGGCAGAACTGAGCTGTAGTGCACTCTTCAGTCTTCAAATCTTCTGTGTTTCTTCCTACTTAATTATGATAGCATGGCCATTTTACATTTCACTACTCACAACTGAGCTAATATATCTGCGTGCTAATGCCCTCTACTGAAGTAGGGTGGCCCTGCTCACGGATACTTTAACCCAGCTCTGAGAGAGGGCCAGTTCATGCCTGTAGGTATCTGCACAATTAATTTACAAGCTATTTTTTTCAATATTAGGTTTATTGTCTTGCAGCAAGGACTGATCCACAGCAGAGACCTATACTTGAAGTAATGGAGATCACGGTTGAACTCTTACTTAGTGTACAAAAGTCCACCAAGACAAGTAATGTGCTGTATTTCAATAGCTTCTTTGTAAACAGACAGTGAATTCTTCAGTTAAACACACAATAAGAAAGGGTTTCCCCCACATATGAATCCTTTTAGGTGCATGGGGCCTATACCACATAGTTGAGTAAATGTTGAATCCTCTACTAAAGGGTAGTGTGCATGCACACTACACTGTCTCCAGTTCATGAGAGCATCTCTCTGTTGCTTTTACCATTTTACATTATAGCGCAATTAGTCTATATATTTACCATTATACTCTAATCTAGTATGTCATGCTTTCTCCCCACTTCCAAATGTCTGTTAAAATGCACTCTTTAATGGGCTTTCAAAACCTTATTCAACCCTCTGCTCTGTGTGTGTGTGTGTGTGTGTGTGTGTGTGTGTGTGTGTAAGAGTGTCTAAATGCTTAACGGTATGGCAGAAGCAGAAAAGAAGCAACCACGTGTTTTTTGTTTTTTGTTGTTTTTTTTAAAAAGGGGATGTCACATCACTACAGTCGTTTCTTTTTTCATTATCTTTCCAAGTATTAATCCATAGTTCTCTAGCAACTCACTTCAGTTTTGTGTATTGGTTCTGTGCAGCGGGAACTTTGATCATATATTTGACTGTAAGTTGCATTCACATGTACGGCTAGATAGATTACATGTAATATAAAAGTTAGAAGAATATTTGCTCCTTGAGCAAATATTCTTCTAACTGGTATTGCAGATTAAATATGAAACAGTTCTTTAGAACTGAACTTTGTGGTTTTATGAGCAGGGATCTGCTGGGCTAACAAACCTTTCACAGGTCAAATGTACAGAGGTCACCAGCTGAAATTAATAGATATAGTAATAGGTTTAAAAGAAACAAAAGGAAGCTTTTTCTTCATGCAGTGCACAGTCAACGTGTGGAACTCCTTGTCAGAGGATGTTGTGAAGACCAGGACTTTAACAGAGTTCAAAGAAGAACTAGCTGAATTCATGTAGGTTAGCCAGAATGGTAGGAATGGTGTCGCTAGCCTCTGTCAGAAGCGGGAAATGGGTGACAAGAGAGGATGGATGACTGAAATTAATAGATACAGTGATAGGTTTAAAAGAAACAAAAGGAAGCTTTTTCTTCATGCAGTGCACAGTCAACATGTGGAACTCCTTGTCAGAGGATGTTGTGAAGACCAGGACTTTAACAGAGTTCAAAAGAGAACTAACTGAATTCATGTAGGTTAGCCAGAATGGTAGGAATGGTGTCCCTAGCCTGTCAGAAGCGGGAAATGGGTGACAAGAGAGGATGGATGACTTTATTGTCTGTTCTGTTCATTCCCTTTGGTGCATCTGGGATTGGCTACTGTCGGAAAACAGGATACTGGTTCAGATGGACCTTTGGTCTGACCCAGTATGACCATTCTTATGTTGTTAAATAGCTTTAATCTCTTCTCTACTAATGTCAAAATACGTTGTAGCATTGCTAGTTTAGTTTCCTGTGCATGTAACTAATTGAACATAAGGCTACTAGAATATATAGGCAATATTAAAATGATTTTGTGGACTAGATAAGGACAGAGTAGCGAATTCTCATACTATTAGTCAGCAGGAGATTTTCTTCTTCTTAGAATAGCATATTGGATGGAATGCTCCAGATTGACTTTCCTATCCTTTCTGTGTCAAGGAATATCCAAACTTAACATAATTCAGTTTTAATGTCAGCTCTAAATATTTTGCTCTCTTCGGCAAACAGGTAAATGTGCATTTGTATCAGACTTAAGTCATTCAGAGATCAAATGAAAGTTTTGCTCCCCTGATTGTGTAGCTGTCCAATGCAACTACGCAGTCTTATTGTTGCAAAGACAGCTGTGCTCTTTCCGCTTGCAAAACCTGTGTGAGAAGAGTTGCTTTTAAT